TTGCCTGTTTTCTTAATGCCTTTTGATGAGTAGAAATGTTTGATGTTGGTCAAGTCTAATGTATCAGTTTTTCTCCCTTATGATTCTTGCTGTGTACTGAGAAACCTTGGCCTACCTTCCTTCCCCCAAGTCATGGAGCTATTCTCCAATGTGTCCTAAAAGTGTTAACGGTTTTAACTTTTACGTTTAGGCCTACAGGGCATCAGGAACTGCTTTTTGTTTTGGTGGAATTTAAGATACAAAACAAAAACATGTATAGTAATTTTTTCTTATTTGATAGTTTTTTTTAGGTTTTTATCCAGTAATCTCTACACCCAGTGTAGGGCTCAGATTCATGATCCCAAGATCAAGAGTCACATGCTCTACCAACTGAGCCAGCCAGGTGTCCCCTTTTTCTATTCGATAGTTTTTAAGTGTGATTTGGCAGTTAGTTTGGTTTAAAACAAACTGATGTGGTTAAATGGCTCATTGGACTGAGGCAGACACACTCCGGGATGATCTCAGAGGGGGTCTAACTGGGTGGGGAACACACCAGCCATCACCAACGGATGGGATGGCCAGGTTCAGTGAGTCAGATCTCGGGAAGAAATGCTGTTCATAGATTCTTAGCCATTTGAAAGATGTTTTAGGTTAGTTACTTAAATGCGGAGTCTAATAGTGAATGTGGATATAGTTGATTTACATTTGTGTCACAAGAAAGTTCTTCAAAATGATGTCACTGGGAAGATACTGGAGGGCAGTGATTGGGCATAACTGCCTATGGTGGACAGGTCAGTGACTCCCGTTGGTTTGCAGAAGGTTCTGCTTTGATTATCAGATGATTTCTTTATGAGACAAATCAGTGTTCAGGGGACAGTTCTCTGCTTACAGTCGTTAAAACATAAATGACCTAACTGTATTCCTTAAAACTATGGAAAGGAATTAATTTTTACAGTAGAGGAAATTTGAGGTACTCTGAAACAAATGTATTAAGGATATGTGACTTTTTTTTTTTTTAATGAGACTGGGGCGTTTCCGTCATACTGTTTGTTTTCAAATCTTCCATTAGGCTACAACACGTGGGAGTTCATTTCTACCCATGATGCAAAGTTAGCCAGAATGTTTCACTTTGGGCCTCCAACCAATCCACTCGTCGACCGGATCCACTTTCTTAGTAACTGAGTAAAACCTTGAACAACCAGGCAGCCAGAATAGAAAATGCAGTTTGAGCCTATGTCTGCAGGACATATTCACAGACATTTACTTAAGACAAAGAAGTTTTTTTCCCCAAAGGCCTTCTGTTTGTGATTCTAGCATGTAGCCTCAAGTGAATTAGATAGGTCTACCGCTTTTGATCTTTAGATAAAAAAACTAAAAAAAATTCACTGCAGGCAAGACCTCTTTGTCCACATCTGCTTGTTTTGATATTATCAGTAACCTTTCACCCACTTTACAAAAAAAAAAAAAAAAAAAAGGGATGGGGAAGAATCCATGAACCAGACAAGTTACAGAGCAGATGGTTCAAGAGAAAATGATTGGGGAAAAAAATACTTGTTTCAAAATCACCCCAGGGGCCCCTGGGTGGCTCAGTCGGTTAAGCGTCTGACTTCAGCTCAGGTCATGATCTCACAGTTCACGAGATTTGGCCCCGCGTCGGGCTCTGTGCTGATGGCTCAGAGCCTGGATCCTGCTTCGGATTCTGTGTCTCCCTCTCTCTCTCTGCCCCCCGCCCCATGGTGTCTCTGTCTCTCAAAAATAAATAAACATTTAAAAAAAAAATCACCCCACTAACTGTTGAGCCATCCCTGGATTCCTTATCGGAACGTCTCCAAGCTCTGTCATCTTCCCTGTTAGAAAGAGCACGTTAAATAGAGTCTGCTGATGGCTCACCACAGCTGGTGACCTTTGCTGTCACTGCTCCATGGTGCCGTTCTCCTAGAGAACATAAAAATTTGTCACCCAAAAACCAGCTTGTGTCTGGAGTTAACTGGGATAGGGATATGCACCTTCACACGAAAAAGCTGTAAGTTCCATCTAAAAAAGGATCTATCAGATATGTTCATACTGTAACTCCAGGGTAGGGCTTGGCACAGAGGCAATGAATGACAAATATTTGTTGACTCAAAACGAAAAGGTTGCTTTATAGCCTTGAAATTGGCAAAATGCAGGAAGAACCGTATCGGAGAGTTGACGTAAATAGTAAAGGGGAGGATTCTTCCACTCACAGGGTATCGATTGCATTTCGGCCTAGAATGTGGAGTACGTACAAAAGGCCGGTTGTTCTCCTCCGTTTAAAAAATTCTGACCCACAGGCCTAGAAAAGATTGGCGTTCGGTCTCACCCTGCTGACCACCTGTTAATACTCTGTTACTGCTTTTTTGCCTGATTTCGGCAGCTGCCTCTCCAGAAGCGGGTGTGGACAGTTTGGAAAAAGAAATCGGATAGACTTAGCAAGTCTTCTGTTGCAGGCTACACACAACTCTTTCATAAAGCAGAAGACTAGTCTCTAGGTTGATCGTGGGGCAATACGTGAAAAGACCTTTCCACACGAGCAGAGATCAGATTTAGGAGACTTGTTTTTTGGATTCCCCCTTAAAATCCTACAGCACACCATTTCATCTTTAAGCACATATTCAGATTTGTGTCTCCTACAAACACAGATGCGTTCACCAAGATGAAGTTTACCAAATGGTCATCTAAAAAAGGCTTTCGAAGGCCAAAGCCGCATCGTGACGCCGACATCCCGTGGGGAATGCCCGCCCTCCGCTGCTCAGATAGCTGTTTCAGAACGAGTTATTTTCGTGCTTATTTCTTTGCCCCAGTAGGGACCCCCTCCTCAGTTTAGCAGCGTGTCAGAAATACTTTAAAGACTAACAGATGTTTGGGTTAATAAAAACCATGCTTCTCTCCTTTCAGTGCCGTTATGCATTCTTACCGTGATTTCTTCATCGGGGCTCTCGATAAAGACAACCCTGCAGTATTTGGCGGAGTGTGATCATTTTAAATATTTCTTTATCATTCTAGAACACACAAAACATTGAATTCAAACATCTCTTTAAGGAAGATTAACGGCTCTTGCCTGCCTGACATTGTGAGACTGTCCGTAGAGCCCCTCCTTGTGTGTCTCAGCCCCTCTTCCCTTGGCTTTTCTTTCACTGCTCATGTTGTTCCCTCCACCGGGGACGTCAGACGTTAAGACGAGAGTAGAAATAAAAGCATAAAAGCAGTGTTAAGGATACCCAGCTCAAGCGGGAAGCTGGGCTTACGAGCCCTATTCAGAGCAGTGTTAGAGCTTTACTGCTGGTCGTAATTCAGTTGTTAGTGGAAGGAATATTGTGGCATTTAAGCAAGTTTGAGAGGCTATAACAAGTCATCAAAGGAAGGTTATACCTGTACGTTTGCCAGAGACCAATTTTATAATCTAGACTGGCCTGTCGCAGTTTGGATACTCCGTTGAGAATCTTGGCGGAGCTGGATTGGCAGGCAACCTACGTGGAGTTTCCTAGGAGTTTCTAAGTCTGACGTACCTCATAGTGAACGGAGCGTAGTATCATATGCAACTGGGGCAGGCACACAAGGACTGCAACTTAGGTAGGGAAAGAAACTGACCACAGGCAATGTGCAGTTTTACGTCCATTTGTAGAGCTCTGTGGTGCCAGGGACACTTAAGACATCCACTTATGTGCAGCTAACTGTGGTAGAAAATCAGAATATGTCAAATACTGTAAGAGAGGAATAAACAGCTTGCAGGTGATGTGGACAAAAAGGTATCTAAATGAGGGAACAAAAAGAATACCCCGCAGGACACAGGGAACAGCCAAGACGAGAGTCGTGGAGACGTGAGCGTGCTTGGCCTTTCCAGGAAGAGGAATTGTCCCTTTCCCAGAGCACAGTGGCTGGGGGGAATGGTGGATTGTGTGGCTGGACATTGGGGGCCACACCCACAGAAGCTTGGGTACATGCCAACAGCACGCTTCTTCGGCAAACAGTCGGGATCCCTCGAAGGATTTTTTATTTATTTTAATGTTTATTTTTGAGAGAGACGGCACGAGCAGGGGAGGGGCAGAGAGTGGGGGAGACACAGAATCCGAAGCAGATTTCAGGCTCTGAGCTGTCGGCACAGAGCCCGACGCGGGGCTGGAACTCACGAACCGTGAGATCATGACCTGAGCTGAAGTGGGGCGCTTAACCCAGGCACCCCTCCCTTGAAGGATTTTGAGCGGAGAGATGGCAAGCTTATCCCAGAAGAAAGTAGCTTGGAAGGTAGATTAGCAGAGTCGAGAGAGATCAGCTTTGGGGAGATTGTAAATTCTCTGACAGTTGGGAGCCACAAGTAGGACATCTGAGGTAAAAATGGGAAGAGTAAACTGGATTTAAGGAGTTTTCAGAGACAGAAAGTAGATGGGAATAAAATGAAGAATCAAAAGTGGGTCTTGGGGTAAAATAATAAACGAGTCTCTGGTCTTCACTGGGAGAAAAGTGGGTTTGGGAAGGAAAACAGTGAGTTTGGTTTTGAACAGTGAAATTAGGATACTGAACATCCAAGTGGAGACGTCTGTAAGCAGTTGGACATCTGAATATGATGCTTACAGAGGTTGGGGCAAAGACTAGAGATTTGGGGGTCATTTGAATAAAGGTGAGGATCTAAGATACCAAGTCCATGTCAAGATCAAGTTTATGTGAACAGAATTTCTTTTAAAAAAAATGAAATGCGGAAACCTCTGTGAGATTATTTTGTATGTGCTAAATTGAATATTCCTGAGCTTGTCTCACATTTGTTTTGTCTGAGTTACGCTTTTTATTCCGGAGAAATGAAAGTCCTTAGATTTATTTTGCCTTCATACTAAAAACAAAAAAAAAAAAATGTTTTTTAGTGGTGAGCGTTTTCAGGGTGGCTTTTTAAGTGACTGTGTGTTCCTTACCGAAAAGGGATTGTGAGATTGCACATCAAGCTAGTCCCCCGGTTGAGCTTGACATCAGGCTAGTCCCCAGGGTAACCTCATTGTCACATTGCTTTGCAGGCATATCTTTTTCTTGCATATCAAGGAGACCCTCCTGGCCGGCCACCTCCAGTGTTCCCCGGAGCAGGCAGTGGAACTCAGCGCCCTCCTGGCCCAAACCAAGTTCGGAGACTATAATCAGAACACTGCCAAGTACAGCTACGAGGAGCTCTGTGCAAAGGAACTCTCCAGTGCCACCTTGAACAGGTGAGGCTGCTGTGGAGGTGACTATTTACATTCATAGATCTAGTGAATTTATACATATTTCCCAAAGAATATGAATCTACGGTATATATACAGATATTTGGTAAGGTTAAGACTAGGCCATTACCCAGTTTAGCCAAGTTGTTTTCTAAAGAGTCTCAGCCTTCCTTCTGAGAGATTTACAGGCACAAAACAATCCACCTAAATCTATGCCCTTATATAAAATGCTATGGAACGGGAATTTTTTAAATCTCTGAACTCTTAAGAATGCAAATCTCTGGGTGGCTCAGTCGGTTAAGTGGCCGACTTCTGCTCAGGTCATGATCTCATGGTTCGTGGGTTCGAGCCCCAAGTTGGGCTTTGTGCTGACAGCTCAGAGCCTGGAGCCTGCTTCCCATTCTGTGTCTCCCTCTCTCTCTGCCCCTCCCCTGCTCCTGCTCTCTCTCCCAAAAATAAACATTAAAAAAAAATCTAAAAATGCAGGTCTCTTCAAAAGTCTGTCATGTCTATTAGTATTTTCTTCATCCCAGCAAAGACTAAACAAAGAGGCCAAAATAGGTGTTATCTTAGTTATCTGTTCTTGGGGGACAAGTTACCCCAAAACTTAGTGGCTTAATAACTATATATCACACTCCTGTGGGTCAGGAATCTGGCCATGGCTTGACTGGGTTCTCTGGATCAAGACCTTTCACGAGGCTGCAGGCAGGCTGTTGGTAGAGTTCAGTGTCATCTGAAGGCTCAGCCGAAGGAGGGGTCCCCTTCCACGTTGATTCTTGTGGCGTGTTGGCAGGGCCTTATTCCCTCACCGCATGGGCCTCTCGAAGGGGCTGTTTCATAACGAGGTGGCTGGCTCCCCCCAGGACCAGCAGTCCAAGTCAGAGCAAGAGAGAACACCCAAGACAGAGGTCAGTGTCTTTTTAGAACTTAATCTCAGAAGTGACATCTCACCACTTTTGCCATATTCTGTTCATTAGAAGCAAGTTATGAATCCAGCCAGTGATCAACACAACAGGCACTCAGCACTCAGGTGAAGGGATTCGCACAAGAGTGTGAATACCAGGAGGTGGGGATCTTCAAGGACTATGTTGGAGGCTGTCTGCCGCAGTAGACAGAATAAATCCTGCTGATGATCTAATCAACCCCTTAGAATGCTATATATATATTTTTAATGTTTGTTTATTTTTGAGGAGGGTGGGGAGAATGAGTGGGGGAGGGACAGAGAGAAAGAAGGAGACACAGAATTAGAAGCAGGTTCCAGGCTCTGAGCCATCAGCACAGAGCCCAGTGCAAGGCTTGAACTTACAAACCATGAGATCATGACCTGAACCAAAGCTGGACACTTAACTGACCCGACTGTGCCACCCAGACGCCCCTAAAATGCTATATTACAACGAAACTTACAAAGTAGACCCTTGCATGAGAAGTACCTACATACAAAACGTCTCATGTATATTTTTAGAGATTTTCCATAATTCTTCCAATTCACCTCTATCCGGCCTCTCCACTTGCTTTTTTACTAAAATGTCTAATAGTTGAGATCTGGAGCAGTGTCTTAGAAGTATATTATTACAAATTTGCTAAACAAATGAAATGTCATTGCTATATCACTTTAAGTGTTACACATAAATGGCAGTGTCTGTATGATTCACTAGGGAAAATGATACAGATTTCCTCTCTAAGGACCACATGCGTTAATCTGCCCACGCCTCTCTGCCCTTTTGGCATCCTGCAGCATTGTGGCCAAGCATAAGGAGCTGGAGGGGACCAGCCAGGCTTCTGCCGAATACCAGGTGTTACAAATCGTGTCCACGATGGAAAACTATGGCATAGAGTGGCATTCCGTGAGGGACAGTGAAGGGCAGAAACTCCTCATCGGGGTTGGACCTGAAGGAATCTCCATTTGCAAAGACGACTTTTGCCCAATTAATAGGTAACGTACCTACGTCTTCCATTTTGTTTCAGCCCCGAATGTGCATATATCCCTTTGTAGCTCTGATTATTAAAATAGATAAAACTGGAAAGGGATTTGCTAGACAATTAGTTATCCTTTGGGGATGAAATGTTTCATTTTGGGTATGTATATTAATTTGAGTCAGGCCTCGATAACCACTGAATTACTCTTTAAACTACAAACTCAAGTGTATTGATGTGGCAGAGTTAATATTTTTTAAGTACGTTCACTGCTGTAAAACTCGCGTTTCCACCTACACACACGTGCGCGCACACGCGCATCACTCCCAACACTTCTCTCCACAACTGGTTTCCAACGCGCCTCTATGACTAGGGAGCCAAGTGCTTACTAGGAGTCCTAGAGCGATCTGATTCTACTTCGGGGTCCTGAGCACAGGAGAGTCCTACGAAAGGGCACACACCATGACGGGCCTCTCCTTCCGGGCTTGCTCACCTTCTCGTCCCGTGTTTCAGGATTGCTTACCCGGTGGTCCAGATGGCCACCCAGTCGGGGAAGAACGTGTACTTGACCGTCACCAAGGAGTCCGGAAACAGCGTCGTGCTCTTGTTCAAGATGATCAGCACCAGGGCCGCCAGCGGGCTCTACCGAGCGATAACGGAGACGCACGCTTTCTACAGGCACGTAGTGCTCCGTCCCCACAGCTCGAGCGTCTGTCTGCAGCTCTAAGTTTTCAGGTGCCACCAAGGGGCCTACGGTTTCTGGTATCGCCGTGTCCACGAATCTTGGTCAGAATTCAAGAAATCCACCGCTCTCGAACATTTTGTTCGTTCTATTCTGCGTGGCGGTGGGGGCCTTCTCAACGTGGTGCTGCTTTTACCACAGAACGTGCGTGGGAGTGAGCTGCACAGACCCCTTCCCCCCGCTTCTCTTGCCTTCTTTCCTCACGGCAGCTCCTCTCCCGGGAGCTCTGAGTGGTTGGACCCGTCCCACGACGGCTTTAACGCATCCCCACAGGATGACCTAACCGTCCTTGTGGGGGAGCCGCTATCCCGATTCCTCACTCCGTAGTACAAGGATTTTTTTTTTTTTTTTTACTGACAGTAGCAATACCCTCGTTTCAGAAGGTGCTTTAAGGTAGACTTGTGATTTGACCCAAATATTTGAGAAATTGAAGCTAAGAAATTTAATTGCCATCTTAACCTTTTTTTATGTTAAGGTAGACACACAAATCTTGGAGCAGAATGGAAAATTTGTAGAAATTTTTAACATAAAAGCCAGGACTTGAAAGAAGAAAATGTCCTTTTTTCCTCGCCACAAGCTGTTTTTGACGACTGCTTGTGTCCCCGGAGGTGAGGGCGCACGCTCACTGTTTCTGCGTTTATCACTCCTTCGTCAAGGTCCTTTGGGGACACTGGAGAAACCCGGAGGTAGAATCATGAAAATGTTTAGCACAGATACCACTGGAAGAATTTACTTGCAGGCATGCACACAAGAATATAAATGTCTGCTGCCACAGAATATTCTCATTCACGGCAGCATTTGAAGGTCTGAGTCACAGAAGTGCCCGGGCTTGTAGGTATTGACGTGCCACGTCTCCCTGCAGGTGCGACACGGTGACCAGCGCCGTCATGATGCAGTACAGCCGAGACCTGAAGGGCCACTTGGCGTCTCTGTTTCTGAATGAGAATATCAACCTCGGCAAGAAGTACGTCTTCGATATCAAAAGAACGTCTAAGGAGGTGTACGACCACGCCAGGAGAGCCCTGTACAACGCCGGCGTCGTGGACCTCGTTTCGAGAAGCGACCCCAGCCCTCCGAACTCCCCGCTCAAGTCCTCGGACAGCGGCCTGAACTGCACCAGCTGTGAGGGCCTCAGCTGCCAGCAGACCAGGGCGCTCCAGGAGAAGCTGCGGAAGCTGAAGGAGGCCATGCTGTGCATGGTGTGCTGCGAGGAGGAGATCAACTCCGCCTTCTGCCCCTGCGGCCACACTGTGTGCTGTGAGGGCTGCGCCGCCCAGCTGCAGGTGAGGGGTGCTCGGCGGCCCTCCCCTGGCGGGCGGGCTCTCTCCCCGCTGTGACCGGGGTTCCTGAGCGCCTGCTGTGTGCCAGGTGCAAGCCGGAGGGCCCCGCCACGCCCGGCTAGGGTCCCCGCGTTCGGGGACCCCAGAGGTGTTGCTCTAAGGGGACATTTTGGATCGCCGTAGTATTTGCCACAGTGTAACTGCCGTAAACCGTAGGCTTTTTTCAGGTTCTGGGAACGAGGCTCAGATTCACAGGGCAGCGCGTCTTAGTCAGTGGGGTGACCGGGGGCTAGAACCCAGGCCTCCCGACCACTGGTTCAGGACTTGCAGCTTCCATTTGTGTGTCTTCCCGCTTCCCAACGCTTAGGATGGTTTTTGTTTTGTTTCGTTTTTTAAGTTTGTTTATTCTTATTTTTTTAATTAAAAAAAATTTTTTTAAGTTCATTTATTTATTTTGAGAGAGGGAGAGTTGAGGGGCGGAGAGAGGGAGAGAGAGAATCCCAAGCGGGCTCTGTGCTGTCAGCACAGGGCCCAACACAGGGCTCCAACCCACAAACTGAGATCATGACCTGAGCCGAAATCCAGAGTCAGAAGCTTAACCGACTGGGCCACCCAGCCTCCTCAGGAGGATGGTCTTTATTATTTACTTAAAATACTTGAAAAAGAATACTTAAGAGGTTTTAGTTATAGCTACCTTGTAGTTATCCATGGGTGGATTGTTTGCTCTGTGATTATCTGTGATTAATTTTCTTTGATGGCTCCATATGCCTCTAGGGGGCATCTTGGATTGGCCTTTAGTAAGTCAAACTAATTTTAATATCAGTACAAAAAATAAAAGTCATGTATGTTTTCCTTTCTTGCACCTTACATTTCCTCTTACAATAATTTTTTCTGTTCGTTTTCATTTCTAAGAACTGTTTGCTTAATGTCAGTGTGGTTTTATTTAAAAGAAGCCCTCAATACATTTAAAAATTTTTAAATAGTAGGAGGGGAGGCGCCTGGGTGGCTCAGTCAGTTAAGCGGCTGACTTCATCTCAGGTCACGATCTCACAGTTCACGGGTTCAAGCCCCACATCAGGCTCTGTGCTGACAGCTCGGAGCCTGGAGCCTGCTTCGGATTCTGTGTCTCCCTCTCTCTCTGCCCCTCCCCGACTCATGCTCTGTCTCCCTCTCAAAA